GGGGGGGGGCCCCCGCCTCTGACTCAGCGGGTCTCACGTTCACTGGCAGGTCCGCCTCTCTTAGCGGGGGGTTCTGTTCTGAACGAACCGTGTGTGATGTGAGTACAGATACAATGTGGAGTGTGAGTGTGAGTGTGAGTGCCCATGCACACATTTTGACAGAAATGAGATCATGCAGTTGCCAGAGGATGCGTGGAGATCTGGAAACCACCTCCACGCTGGCGTGGGTGCTGACGGTGCGGGCACGAGGAGAGGCGGCTGGCTGTGTAGACCTGACGCCTGGGAGGAGCACACACTTGGAGTCCAGGGGACCCGCGCCGCCCGAAGCAGGTGCAGAGATGAGACGACGGTGTGCACGGAAGCCTGTCCCGCTGCTCTGCTGGCAGGAACCGCGTGTCCCAGCAGACCCCGACACCCTCCTGCTATCCACACATGCAGCCCAAGCTGGTCTCCCGTGCCCTGCCTCACCTGCCACCCACGGGCACGCCCGCGGCCCGCTGCCGAGGCTAGCTCACGCCCTCACATACTCCTACTGCAAGGCTGCTTTCCACGGAATGAGTGCTTGAAAGTACCTGCAACGTCTCGCAAGGAGACAACCCTCAGAAGACTGGGGCGGAGGGAAAGAAAAGCCTGAATCCGTCAGCGCTGTCTGAGTCACCTTCGCCTCTCAGTGCTCACATCAGGCCCTGACTTTCACGTTGGAAAGTGACGTGAGAGGAGGCCTCCCGCCACCGTGCTCCCCAGCGGCCCCACCTCTCCCAGGGGAGCCCTCACAGCTGCAGAGCCAGGGCCAGGGCTGTGTCTACCACACCAGGTTCGAAAGCAGAGGCCCTCTCATTTGCTCGACTTTGACGGCACGGACCTAATTTTCTAAGAACTCTTTATCTCTCCATCTTTACTTGAATGCCTTATGGCCACCTCGAACTTGAGGGTCAGGACTCTCTTCCAGGACTCCTTACACGGCTTAACCAATCACTTACTGTTCAGACCAGGGGACACCTCGAGGCCACCACCTCCCTCCTACTCTCATCCGCTGATGACCGTGTTCTATGGGTTTTGCCATCTGACTCTTTTTCTGAACCAGTTCCCTTCCTCTGCACCTCAGTCTGCATCTTCTACGCTTGGACTGCTGCAATCGCCTTCTTACTGGGCTCAGCAGCCGCTCTTGCCGTCTCTACCATGTTCCTATAAAAACACAAATCTGACCACGTCACTCTTCCTTCCTCCGAATCCTTTAACGGTTCCCTACAGTCCCATGGTAAGATCCAAACTCCTTAAGCCCTAAGGCCTTGCCTGATTTAGCCTCTAAACGCCTCCAGGTCTGCTTCTGCATCGTCCTGCTTGGCTCTCTCGGTGCCAGCCGCCAGTCACCCTCATTCAGCTTCTCAAAGCCACGACAGACTTCTGTTTTACACGTTTCCTGCATGGGAGAGGGGCTGAGGAGCCTTCCTCCAGCACCAGGGCCCCTTCACCCTAACTGTCCCCTCTGCATCCGCGGTGAACCTTTCATCCAGATACTGATAACCTTGCTGTTTGAGACCCCAAGCTGGTTGGTTTTGAAACAGTTGACACTCCCTCCTCAGACTCCCCGTCTGTTCGCTCATTACACCCCCTTTCCCTTTAGGCCCCAGACCGTTTATATAACAGACGCCTTTGACTGTGTCTATTAATTCCAACGTCTGGGTCATCTCAGGGTCTATTTCTATGGGGCTGCTTTTCCCTCCTTAAATATGGGTCACAATTTCCGCTTCTCTGCAGTCTCGTCGTTTTTATTATATGTTGGACATTGCTGCTAAGGCGGGTTATGCTGCCTTCCTTCAAAGAGGCTGAGTTTGTTTTGCAAGTTCTCTCTGACACTCTCAGGCTTGTACTTACATTTTACTAAGGTGAGTCTATTCTGATTTTGTCTTCCGTCCTGGGGTGTCACTCTTACTCCTAACG